TTGGCGAACGTTAAAGCAAATTTAATGTATGATATCCACAGTTAGACGTCAATTTATATTAATAAAAAAGTGTCGCGTCCCAAATTTTTGTATGAATTTTTTCCGTCTAGCCCCCTTTCACAACGCGCGATAATTAACTTCGTTCCAATAAAAGTGAAAAGAATTGCGATAAATGTAATGGTATGGCATTTATTCCGATGTCAGTGAAATAAGGCGCGCCTCTAGCACCCTCAGATATTTCAGGTACAGTGTGTGGTTTTCGTCGGTTCGATTCCGATACACCACCCACGGCAAACCCCGGTGGGGTGGCAGCTCATTCGGGATTTCACACGGTTAAAAATAAAAGCTCTAGTAAAGAAATGGCAATTAAAATGTGGAGTAATTACTATCGCAAATTTAGTAACGTCGACTAGTAGTTAATGATATAGTGTGGGTGCTAGAGAGGCGTGGGGGGGAGGGGGTGCCGAGGAGGTGCTTGCCTAGATACTTAATCCACCTCGGCTAGAAGAGGAAAAAGGTATAAGGTAATTTAGTCAAGTTTAGTGCACCTAATCACTAATTCTACACCACTCCAAGGTAGACTGGCAGAGAATGCCTGTGGCATTAAGTCCACATTTGTAATTTTTTGTGCATATAGCATTAAATGAAAAACTAAACAATGCGGTTGTATAAGCATCCATCGAGATGTCTGTCTGTTGCGAAATTGGTTGCCTAAATGGTAAGTGAGCATTCCTACATATGATAATACCATTCTAATAAACATTTTGTTTGTACAGTTCTAGTCTTATGGGTATTTAACAATTTATTTCGGAATGTTTCAGGAATGGCAGACGAAAGACAGTAAGTAAGAGACGCACATTACTTTTTAGTAAAACGTTAGTGACATGTATCCATTGGCAGCGCCAAAATGTATCATAGATTGAAATGCTTGTCATAGAAAATAATTATTATAGATATGCCGTGCGTTGAAAACTTATTTTTACACCTTTTTTTAATATACATATATTATGAGATGTCCTCTCCTAGCGATGTGTTGCGGCACAGCCCGCCCACAGACGATTTCGTAACTTATAGATGTAGTAAATAAATGTTATTTTATTGTTCTCGCTGTCAATAGTTTAAATGTACCACAAATATATCTTGTTAAAAAACAATTGTTTGTGGCCGGGTAGGATACTTAGAATTTTCTGAAATATAAACGGAAAAAATGTTCCTTTTATGTTCTTTATTTTTTCCATGTAAAAAACGCTATGTACGCTCACATTAACAGAAAATAATTTCAAATAAGAATTTGCACTAAGCGCCTTCGCCTCTTCCTTGTTGTTCAATTGCTTACATACTTACTGCTATTTTAGAAGTTTAGGCGCATAATGACAATTCTTATTTGAAATAAATCGAAGTCTCTAGTTAATTTTAATTTAAAGAAAAACATTATTGGATTTTTTTTTAGTTTATATTTTAGTACATTCTGAGCATCCTACCTGTGTTTTACACGTGGCCGGGCTCCAACGTATACGATGCTGCCCGGCCACAAACAATTGCTTTTTTAACAAGATATATTTGATGTACATTTAATCTATTGATTGGTACATCGAGAACAATAAAAGACCATTAACTTGATATACTTCGTCTATAAATTACGAAATCGACTGTGGCCGGCAACACACGTCCTAGAGGCGTCTCCAATCACAAGACTGACAAACGAGTATGAAATACTGACATCTCGGAGCTACTCGTGTACTGTATTGTGAGTCTACTCTCTACGAAACATTTGCGGTTTCGCCGTCACCGGCTCCCTCGCCCTATCCGTTTTCCTTACCTAAAGTTACGTTGTTCCTTCGTCCTGTCTGTTGTAATATTCTCAAGGATGATGTCAGACAGGTGGCTGTTCGTAAAATAAACACTCATTGCATTGATCTCAAAGAAATTGGGAAAAGAGCAGGATAATGATGGTGATGCTATAGTCAGCCAATTTCTCTTAATACCCACTATTAGTAATAAAACAGCACACGTCGGTACCGACCACGCTAATACACACCTTGGCGTGAGTATCTCCTGCTCCTTACACGAACACTTGTGCATTTACAGATAACGCCTGCCATTTTGTGCGAGGCAATTTGTAAACAAACACACCGGGATTAACAAAAGACCTTTTATTTTATTGTGGTTTGTATGTATGTATAGTCTAATACTTAAAAGTGTGTACGTAGGTGTTATTTTTTTATTAACGCTATTGTATTTATTTATCTACATTATGTATATAGGTACGAGTATTTAAAAACTTATAAGTATGTATTTTATTTAAAAATATTGCAATAGGTTTGCCACCTATTACGTAATTGGAACTAAAAATTTATCGAGGGAATAAAGGGAATAAAGATGCGAATATAGGTATGTATTATAGTACCATATGTATTACTATGTATGTACGAGTACGTAAGAGCATAGAACGTGCGCTGCAGTTTCTCCTGCCAATGGACAGATTGTACCCGATGTGCCTTCCAATGTGGGATGAACGTGTGGCTGTTCAGTCGATTAAAGATCCGTGTTACTGCACAGGGTTTCTACCTTTATAACCGTTGTAACGTGCAGTAGAGCCTCGATTATAACACACTAGTCTTTGCCAGTGACTTGGTCCCCGTTGTGGTCAACATCAGATATTGTAGAGCAAGGATTCCTAAACTATTTTAGGCAAGAGACCCCTTTCCTAAAGGGAACTGATATCTCAGACCGCCATAGCCAAATTACTGCACGCTTTTCGACTTGTTAAGTTTGAAGAAAGTACAACAATGATGGTGCCTACTGAAATATTAGTCATACTAATATCAAGTTGGTACACTTAACACAACTATACAGTATCTTGAAAGTTTCAAATTTGAACTTTTGTTAATTAATAGGGGCCGATTTTTAGACCTTGTCGATTCACAAGATCAGTTTTCGTTTATATCGACCCCTGTCGGGTCGAAATCGGATTCCCAGGGGTCGATATAAATCCCAAGGGTAACCCCAAGAGTGGGTCGAGAATTTCTGAAAAACTCTGGGAATCCCTTTTGTAGCGAATATGCTACTACCCACAAATAACGAAGTTGCATATAAATTTCTAACCGCCATTTTGCACTCTTAGGGGAGGAATTATTTAAAATCCTTAGTGCACACCTGCGTCACTTAAGGAACATTTGCGCAAAATTTCATCCTACTAGACCCAGCGCGGGGCTGCAGCTGTGCGTTGATCGATCAGCCAGTGACTCAGTCTGTCAGTATCTTCTTTTATAGATAAAGATAATGGGGGGGGGGGGGGGTAAGGCAAAGAAAAACGGTTTTTTCTTTCGAGTAATCTAACTTGAAAACAATAAAGTCATAAACATACTTGTTACTTTCTTCTTTATGCACAAAGAAAAGTTGTACAATATCGGATTTAATACCACCCGCATTTTCTTCCAGTCTACATTACGGTGGTGCGGTATAACAAGATAAAGAGAACATCGTTAAGAAACTGGGGAGAAACATGGAAACAAATATATATAAACATATACTTGCTGAGTTACATACATTTATTTATTATTAGAAACTCAACAGCTTGTTATAAAAGGCTAATACTGGTGGTGGTACCTACGACCACCAGCAGTGTTGGCCAATCCTTGCTTAAATACTAGTAGGTACCAGTTTGTATGAATATATGTCTTATTTTCTGGTACTACCTATTACAAAAAGGTTTTAAGCCAGTAATAGAGTTTCCTGACATCTTAAAAAGGTAGAAGTGCAAATGTAAACACCGCAGATAATCTATATATATATATAAGAGATTTTCACGTATATAGTCACTCATCACGATATCTCTGGAACCATTAGAGCTAAAGACCTGAAATTTGGTAGGAATATTCTTTTCACGGAGTAGAGGTCAGCTAAGAACGGATTTTAAGAAATTAAAAAAAAAATTACATAATGTAAATAGCAAAACGTTTGCAGGGTCAGCTAGTACACTATAAACCAGAAAGTGAACAAACTTGGTAAATACAACAGAGACGGCGGTAAAAATACAATATAAAGTAAATATATGAGGATGTGTTGCATGGACTCATGATGTTACTTAACCATCAACAAAATATGTACAATTCCTTCACGGTAGCTGTCTCTAGATAAGTGAAATGGATCAATTTTTGAGAAACGTGAATTGTACATAAATAACTTCTAAGGCATTGAAGTTGTTATGAATCTGCTGGGGTATCCAGAATGCGAGCTTAAATTTTTGTCTTGAATGGAAGGCGGCTGGGTGATATCCTGATTTCAACAGGAAGACTGTTCCAGAGGAAGGAAGGTAGGAAGGAGAAGTAGGTGAGTTGAAAATGGAAAAGAAGGTGGTGAAAGTGTGGTGGTGGGGAAAGAATTTCTTAACCCGATAGAATGTCCGTAGCGTATCTATTTGTGTATTTCTGACCGACGCTGACGCTAGTGACCTGGTTTTGCCAGCTGAGCTTCTAGTCGATAAATAGGCCTAGAGTCTTGATAGAAAGACTGAAAGGAATGACTGTACCGTTAAAAGTAATACTGGCAGTTTACCTCAACTTCTCAAAAATCTAAAGAATGATAAAATTCTACAAGATCGGCTGACTAGTGGACAAAATCACTTTAGGGGTTCCAGCAATTCGTATAACACTGGACAATAGCTTATTAGTTTCAGGACTATACCAACAAACCTTGGATGCTTTTATTAATAAAATAAATGTGACACTGTATAATAAATATTTTATTTGTTCGATTTACAAACAGTATTTCACAAAAATAACTCCATTTGTACCCATGTGTTTCAAACGAGCGCACTCACCGACAACAACAGTTACACTCACAAACCCTGAGCCTGACACACACGCTCACCGCTCGCTCGCACTCGTCCGCAGCGCGGGCGTCCAGGGCGCGTCCAGGGCGCCACGCGCCGGGCACAGCACTACGAGTATAAGGATACGTTAACACTAGCAGTTACAGTAAGACTAACGGCGGCGGTATCACCGGTGCGGCGGCAGGAAGCCGAGCGCGCGCAGCACGGCGCCCGCGCGCGCCACCAGCGGCTCGCGCCAGCGCCACAGCGCCGTGTCGCGCACCGGGGCTTCGCTCAGCTCCTTGCACGACTTGCTGAGCGCCGTCACGCAGTCGGCGCGGTAGTGCTGGAGCCGCGCGTGCCGCGTCTCCAGCGGGTAGCTGGAGCACGCGCCGCCCAGGCACGCCAGCGGAAAGTGATTGTGCAGCGCCAGCACGCGCTCCGTCTCGTGGAATGCTTTCACGTACTGCCCGGGCTTGGTGAAGTTGCGCGTGTGGTACACGTGTTGCAGCATGTGCATGTAGTGCGGCACGCCCTCCTCCCAGCCGTGCTCGTGTCGCAGCGAGTCCAGGAAGTACAGGTTGGAGGCGTGGTAGGACGAACGGGGAGGTTTGCCCTGCAACGGCGTGCTCAGCGGCAGTACGCGGCGCATGAGCGCGCTCCAGTCCGCGTCTTCGAGAGGCACGATGACCTCGTCGATGTCGAGCAATGCGAGCCACCGGTACCGGTACATGTTACGGTACAAGCAGTCATTGTACGGTATCAGTTCCATCTGACGCTTGTGCGTCGTTTTCTTTTTGAGATACATATGCTGCAGCCCCGGCAGGTTGGGCTGGCCACCGGGGAGCGTAATAGGCGTCACGCTCACCACGCCCTGTTCGGTGTAGTAATTTAGCACTTTCGTGATGTTAGGATGCACCTGGAGTTCGTAGAAAAACACTTTGTCGGCGCCGAGAAGCCTCACCAATTCGATCCACTCCACTAGGCGCACGGATAAGTCCTCATGCAGAAAATCTAAGCCCTTCACACATATCGCAAAGTCCTTGCGCGCCTCAGTCGGCGGACGGTCATGATGCACACGCAAGTTGTTGGTGGCGCGGTCGCACGGAGCCTGCACTATCGACACGGAGGCCGGCACGAGGTGGCGCACGTCAGCCGGCAGCACGCACGCCATCAGGTAGGGCTGGAGCACGCGGTCTCGGTAGTTGCCCCATTTGCTGTTCCACACGTACTTATACTCCAGGTTGCGCACTACCACAGGCGCCTCGCGCTCCTCGAACCACAGCTGGCAATGAGTCACCACTGTAGGCTTAATGCGGTCGTGCACGGCCAGGATGCGTACGGCAGGCCCGATGCGCGATGTGTTGCGGTCGTCCAAATAAGCGCCGTAGAAGTGAAATACGCCAGTATCGGTGTGAAGCGTCTGCCAGTACGTATTGTGGAATTCTAGCTCATAAATGGAAGGGAAAGGGGCGCAGTCTTTCTTCTTGAAGAACTTGTTCTTGTCGTTCTGGTGCTTGTGCCAGTAGGCGAGGGGCAGCGAGGGCAGGCGGCGCTCGGCGTCGGCGCGCAGCTGCTCCTCGGTGAGCACGCGCGCGTCTGTGGCGGGTGAAGGGTGCGCGGTGGGCGGCGGCGCAGGCGTAGAGGTGGCCGCCTCCGACTGAAGCAGGAGGCGCGCGGGAGGCGCGGGGGGCGCGCGGCGCGGTGTGGGAGGCTGCAGGCGCGGCAGCGCCACCACCAGCAGCGCGCCCCAGCACACCAGCGCCGCCAGCCACCGCACGCGTGCGCGTGACCCGCACCACGCCCCGCACCACCCACGCATCACCTGGAAGCAACCAAACGAGACGATTATTCGCTGCACTCTGCACGTAGGCTACACGGTAACCGCCGTCGACCGTACCTCCAGCCTATTGTCAAGGGGCCCTCATCCTGGCACACGGCGGTAAAACACTGGCGATTTAAACCTGGAGTATGACGTCATTGTACGCAGATCCATCTGACCCGAACTCACCCACCCAGAGCTCGAAATATTACGTACAAATGGAGTCAGTCCTCACATAATATTTTAACAAAAATACATAACCCAAAGAGTAGTGTACCGGTGTGGGCTACTGTACCACTGTATACATACTGACTGACGTGTGTCAACGTCGAAACTATACAGAGTAAATACCACAACGAACGATTTGTACAAAGAGGATATTATCTAGTACTAGTATAGAACATATAAGTTTTTTTTTTTAAAGACAACGCCCGCATTTGGAATATATTCTGTGTCGTGGGGAACTTTACAAACATACATGAAACGGACAGAAAGGACATCCAGACTCAGTACAATAATTTGTAGGTCACACAAAGTGTCGTCTCATGTGGGGTTTGAACCCACAACCCTCGGCGTAGTAGGAAGCGGCGCGGCGACCGCTTCAACCACTACGCCATCCGTGCAGTCGAATAATGTAATAAGTAATAATTAACAACAGATAAAATAATAGCCTGATTATATTTTTAAAACTCTTAAACTATACAATTCACGAGCACCAGAGACCCAACAGAATTCAGTAAAAAATTATAATTGTGAGAAAGGGAGGCTAGTTAACGACTGGTCAGGATAGAATATCTATTTCAAGACTCCCACAAAGTTGAGAAGATCAAAGCCACAATGATTTACAGCAGCGAACCTTTTTTTTTCTGTGCGGAAATCCCCTCGGATACCACCCACCGGTGGCTATACCGGACTCGAACCGACTAAAAACCGCACGCCGTCTCGGGTACCAAAAAAACCCTAGAAAGGAAATCCCTGGTACCCCGAGGCACCTCGGGCCATCGACGGCGGGTAGATGACCAGCGAACCTCTCTGATAACCTACCTATTAGATGAGGTTATTATACTAGATACTGTACGTACATATGTACATAATAAGTTGTTTCTTTATTTTTACATATCATATAATTATCATGATATACCAACAATATCCCTCACTTAATACTCTAGCCGATACAAAGAGTAGGTAATTCTTGAAATGACTGATAGTCGCAGAGATTAGCTTAAACAATTTAGCATTTAATATAATCGTAATTGATTAGACGTGTACTTTCATTAAAAATGTGTTTGTGTGATTTCCTTATTGGTCTATGTTGTAGTGGATTACAATTGTATAATCGTACGTGGCAGTGTGCGACATGTGCCAGCAGATGAGGAAGCAATATGACTGAGTACAGCGCAAGTGCTGGCATTGATGGTTTATTAAAAGCCCGTTTATCGTCATTGGTAATGAATATGCTGACCCTTAGGTATGCATCGTCTAACACATCCAATAATTTACGATGCTGTGAGGACCATACTCGCTGGCAGAAACTTTAACGCGTTTTGTTGAACGTGGCCTATTATTTTGTTATGTACAACTTGAGATTGACACTTATCAAAGTGTGAGTCAAGTCACGTATAATATGCTAACTTATCACCGGTGTGCCAAACACATCGAGGAGCGTAAACTTCATATAAATGAAAGCTGGAGATGTTTAGAGTGAATCAAAAATAATCGTTATGTTATCCACACATTTTCTTATAAGGTTAAAATAATTGGTTATTTGGATGGTTGCAGTGGTCGTGCATGGCGTGGGGTCGTCGCCCGGAGACAGGATGCGCGACAGCGGTCCCAGTCCTGTAGCTGTCGCCCCTCTGACATCCGCAACCCCCGGTTGTGCGACCAGTTTTTGCGCGTCTCTGTCGCCTGCGACTGGTGCCTCTCAAGGTTAAACGACATATTTTGCAGAAGTCGTGAATCAGCCCTGCGACACAAGTACGTACAAGGCACTGAACCGAATGTTAATGTAATGAAATACTCGTGACTATATTTACCAGCTCCTTGCAGCTAGCGCATGTTTCGTGTCCTGCAGCCAATGCGATTTTGTCTACCCTAACTACAGGACAGATACAGTATAACACTTACAGATATAAAAATTGCCCATTAATTGTTTTACTGTCTATAAAATTTGATTGATAAGCTGTCTATGTCACTTGCGTGTGGTAACTTGGGTCACCAGTCACCACACACAAGAAGAATAGAAGCATCTAATTTAGGTAGATTATAAGACCAAGGGCGGTATTCGATCCCGTGAGTAACGAAAACGTAAACTATATTTTTAGGCGACAAATAAAAGGAGGAAGAGGCAGGAGCCCCCGAACTTCGCTCTGCGCTTTTTAGATAAACTAAAAAGTAAAAACCTCATAAGTTGGTAACGCGAGTCGGTAAAATAAAGATAGGACACCGACTAGCCATGTGCACAAACGAACTGAAGAAGGTAGCTGGGATAGACTACATGTAGACTACTTCGCACGTTTGGAGACGGCTATGTCCAGCAGTGGACTACAACAAGCTTATTGATAGATTGAAGTTTGCTGAATTGAAGTTTTTGCTCTGTGGCAACCCCGCGGTAAACAGCTGTTCTGAATTGCTCCCGTTTATTTTTTTGTTTTAAATATTATATTCTGTTTAAAATATCATTTAAATACCAATTTCTCACTAAGCAAATAAATGCTACTTGCACAAATTATATAAGAATAGTTCATAAATGTTATTTTAGTAAATAAACAAATTTGTAAGTGACGGTTGGGATACCGGCAAGTTACGAATAACATTAAAAAAGTGTTGAAAATTGTGCCTGGAATTTATTGTCATCGCTTTACAGGTATCGCTATTTGATTTATTTATTATTTTCTTTAATACGATTTCGGTAAAAGTGTAGTTAATTCTTAAGACGCTTATATTGACACTACACAACTTACCCTCCACTGTGTGATATCAACTCTCCTTGGTGATAATTTAACAATAGTTTGCCTTTTCACAAAGCCTTACACCATGGTTCAGACTCGTAATGCCTTGGCTCGTCAATTGGAGTCCAAGCTTCAACTGACTTTAAGCGAATTAAAGGCAACTAAGGAGAGGTGTGATCAACTCATTGGGGAAAGAGATGACAATGAAAGGGAAGTCCTTGAGACATTAAACGAGAATGAGAAACTTAAAAAAGAAATGTCTCTGTTGCATGGTCGGTATACAGTTTCTGTTGATGCCCGGAAAAAGCTCCAACTCCTTGTGGACAGCTTTGATACATGTAGGGATGAGTATGAGCAGGCACTGAAAAGGATTAGGAAGCTAGAATGCCAACTACAGAAAGCAGAGGAAAAAATATCAAAAATCGACACTCATAAGCACAACCGCCTTGTAGCTTCTAACCAAAGTTTGTTCGAGGAGTTGGTTGCCCCGGGGTTGGATCGGGCTGTAGTTGACAGTCTCCATCCATCTATGGTAATAGATCTCACAGCTGACGATGATACTAGTAGTTGTACTTATAAACCTAACAAAATTGTAAAATGCAGCTTGAGAAAATTGAAAAAATACATTAAAGTTAAAAAAATAATTACCAAAACAAAAAAAATGATTCACAAACAAAAATTTTTTATTAATAGTATGTCACTAAATAGGCAGAGACTTCATCTGATTGATCAGGTGTCTATGTACTCATTAGAACTAGACAATATGTCGAGTCAATACATTAAAGATACAAGAGAATTACAAAGTGAGATTGACCGTCTTAAAGAACAACTTAGTAATATTACCTATAAATATGAAATTTCCCAAAAGCAGAGCAGGGAGCAGGTGCTGGCTATTGGCAGGCTGGTTAACTCCTGTAAATGTAATGATTCAGTGTATTCTATAGACAGCCCCAGGACAGCACATGCTCCTTCCTCACTGCCACCACAACCTATCAGAACTTTTGTACCTGAATTCAAGGACTCCCATTTACAAACAAACAAATTGTACAAAAATGATAACATAGCAATGTTTAGTGATGAAATTGGAAAGGGCATGGGTCCCTTAATGTTAAATACACAGTTGGGACATTCATTCAGCAATTATTGCATGCCTCACTCATCTTTTAATGATATTATGGAAAAAGTTTTAAATTCCAAATCAGACCACAATGTAAATACTTCATTAGTCATTTTTGTTGGTAACAGGGGAAATGTAAACAAAAAGAAATTCTTAGGCTACTTTGAATCATTGTTAAAGTTAGATGTAAATAAAATTGTATTGTTTACACTTCCTCTTAGCAAAGGGTTGTCGCAGAAGGAAAGAAATGTTAGATATAATTTAAATATAATGATGCACAACCTAACGTGCCAAATAAATGGACCCTATTGTAATAAATTACATCTAATCGACACTAACAAGCTTGTTAGTAATAATATTTCATTGACGAAAGGTAGATATTACCTTTCTAATTATTATAAGAGACAGATAGCAATTTCGCTATCATATTATTTTTCCATTACAGCCAAGAACTTGGCTAAAACTATTGCTTCTATTGAGCAAATTGACATTACCCATAGCGACTTTGCCAATCCGTTGGCAGATATTTCTTTAGACATTAATAAAAATTTAAATGACATACCTAATAATTTACATAATAATGAGATTGACATTTCAAATAATTTAAATTTACTGATAAGACAATAGAGACTACCTCTTGCAATATTAATTTGATCACTAATAGAAAGTTCAATCACAGTAAATTTATTAAAAATAATATGATAAATAATATAAATTTGGTGCATCAAAACATTAGAGGAATGATGGGCAAAGACTTGGAGGTGGAACTGTTCATGAACTGCAATGCAATTGATATTTTTTGTATTACTGAACACTGGCTAAAAGGGGATCAGTTTATGTTCAATTTTGACCACCACCAGGTAGGCAGCTCGTTCAGCAGAAGTACAGCAATACATGGTGGCACTATGATACTCATTAATAAGAAACTTAAATTT